GCGGCGTCGCCACGATGGCGCGACACGTGGCTGCCCCAGAGAATTCCCAATTGGCGAATACGGGAATAACTGCGATCCCGCAGTGTACATAAGGGCGGTTTGGCATGCGGCAATGCGCGACAATACTACGGGCCGCCACGTGTTTGCCAATTGTCACCGGATAGAGAGAGGGGGGAGATGGAGAGGTAAACACAATTTTACCCCACCACCCTGATTACCGTCCGTACGCGCGAGGATCGACACCCCCGTGTGCGTACACCGAATACCGGGTCGCGTATACTTGGACTATTGTATCCGAGCAGTCGGAAGTCGACATAAGAGAGAGAGAGAGATAGCTCGTTTGCTTGGCTCTTTACTGTTTACTCTGCCTTCCGATGGGGAGTGTCGATTTACTCGCTCCTCGATCGCGCCATTTGACACGCGCGAGTTTAAAGTTAATCGACGTAAAGCAAAGGTCGATTCTTACGTTCGGGAAAAATGGATCATGTATACATCTCTTATAAAAATTTAATTTTGGAAAGTAATTTAGTTATTTTCAATATTAAAAGCGCTACTGTTGTTCGGTGCTTTTAACATTCAAAATAAATAATTTCCATGTATTATATTTTAATACTGGAAAAATATTAAATTGGATTTCTAAGGGATGTTAATACTTCCTGTTTAGTATCAAGCGATAAATGCTATGATTAAATCGAAATGACTCCGAAATCTATAGTATTTTTTTCTCTCAACAATGTATCTTGCACATAACACTGATAGTTACGAGAGACATTTTTTTTATTATAACATAAAGTAAAAAAGATAGTCGAACAAAAATGAGTTGTTTTTTTTTTTAGATTTTAAACTGCTTTTTGCGATTTTATGAAATAATAAGAATACTATGTTCATAAATATACTTGTTTTTGCTCGTGCAAACGCCGACACTTGGCGTTCTCTATAATTATGAATCCATAATAAAAGTAATATTATTAGACTGAAAATAGTAGATCTGTATCATACAATCGTAAATTCGAACGGGTTTCTTATCTGCAATTATAATTAAAATATGTATGTGTGTGCTGGCCGAGCTTTGACAGATAAAAGTTGCGGACGAGATAAATCGCCATTGGCTGCGTTCGGTAGAAAAAGCAGTTTTGCAACTGATGTAAGATCTCTTAATATGATTGATTTACATATTTAGATCCAGAAAGGAACTAAAAGAATAAGAACCAATCATATTAAAGAATCTTACAACAATTGCAATTGCTTTTCTATTGAATGCAGCCGTTGTGACAGAAGAGACGTGTCGTCAGTCATGAAATTTCATGATCCCAGAAGCCACCGAAAAATAATCGTTCTTCGATTATTCGTGACTTGCCAGCAAAATCGCACGTAGACGCGTGACTCCGAGATATTTCGTAACTATTCGCAAAGCAAAAAGGACAGACTCGTCCCCCCGGAGAGCGAGAAAAGGGACACGGCGAAGCGGACGGAGGAAAAAACGGAATAGGAATGATTTTGCGAAGGTAAAATGTCCGCGCAGTCCACCGTCGTCGAACTGGTTAAACAGGTTATCGGTTTACGGCCGCCGTAAAGAGATTTTAAATTTCGCGGCACATGTGCCTCGTGCATTCCGCGCCGCGGTACTTCCCGTCCTTTTTCCTTCGTTTTTCAGTCGTTTTGCCGAGTTCATAACACCGCGCGTAGACGGCTGGACCAATGGGAAGTGGTCTCACGATTACGCCGACGTCGTACCCACGGGGAGAGCGCGCGTATAAACTTTCTCGTGAAACTTCATTCTGGCATTAATTTAATTTCTTACCGATTTCGCGTCCGCAATCTCTGCCCCGCGCGATGCTGAGACACATCAACCGTTTCCGTTTCACGCGCGCACCGAGCAATAAGCATTTAATAACATCTCTAATAATAATACACACATATGTGAAATTGCCATATAAAATTAAAATTACAAGAGAATTATTAAAGCCATTTAAATCCCTACCATACTTTTCCGATGTAGAATATAAATTTCTTTGTATTTTAAACCTTTATTGAACGATAAATTGCAAAGAAAGTTGTAATTTTACTGTCATCTACAAGAGACTACAGATTCGAAGATTTTTGAAAGTAATTTATGAAAAAGATAGATTTACCATGAAGATGAGTATCAATAGATTTTTTTACGGAATAAAAATTTTCAAACGCATTTTTTTTTTAGCATTTTGAAAAAAAATTCAAAGATCAAGGATATATGCTTGCGATCGCAAACACATGATATTTTGTCTTAGTATGTGTTTCGACTAATAATAATAAGAAAGCCCATTTGTAGTAGATATTTTATTTCCAACTTAGGAACTGAAATGCCCATATAATAAAAAATATTTGTATCGTAATAATTATTATTATTAAAGTGGGAAAACGAGGGGTTATGCTAAAATCGCTCTAAGTATACAAAATGAAGAGAAAACTCGCAGAAAACGAAAACAATCATAGACTCTTCCTTCACGAATCGCTCTCTTTCCAAACTCTCCCACCAACTCACTCGCTCATTCACTCATCGGCACGTTTATTCCGTACACTCGCACGCGCGCGCGTTAAAAAAAAAACTCGAGATTTATATAAAACAATCGCGGTAACAGAATATAAACAAAAATCATATAAAATCATTCATGTGGAATCTTTTGCACATTGTTATTATCCTCCTTACTTTGTTTCTCTTCGATTCGCGTCTACCTTTCTTAGTGTTCTCGAACTGTTAAGGGGCTCGTCAAAAGCATGTACAAATGACCGTCGCCGTTTGTTCGATTTCGTAGTCGCTAGCTATCAGTTTTTTATGGCACGTATTCTCGTAAAAGCCTTTCCCTTCGCGGAGACTCGACAATGTCCGCATTGCCATCCTCTTCGTTCAGCGTTTCGCTTTTTCTCATCGCTGTACGAATCTCGCAATATTACATCGAGCAACCATAAAGGATCCGTATACTCGACTTCTCCCCTCTTATATTTTTTTTACATACATACTAGAACCCGTGGAGTCCCTTTAACTTTTTGTTTTTGTATATGTTTATCAGACTTGGACGTGAAGATCTATCTTAAGATTGTGTGTGTACGTGTACGTGTGTGTGTGTGTGTGTGTGTGTGTGTGTGTGTGTGTGTTG